AAATTAAAAAGTGTATTTTTAAGAGACTTTATCAACGAATAATTAAAGTGATATAATATCAAGTTGTATCACTTGTCCTGCCCTTCCTTACTGCTTTGATTGTTGCACTGAAGGCACGCAGCGGCTGCCATCTTTGAGAGAGAGACAGGTCCACCTCGTGGTAAGCTTCTGAGTCTGACCAGCTGCATGCTTCATTTATATTTTTTTCATGTTGTAAGTTGATATTTTGTGTTAAACTCGAAGTGATAAAGCACGGCTGGAGATGGGACGTTCATAACAGCCTGAAGGAGAGAGGGCTCATGCACTTCGTGTCCATGCTGAGTAGTGCACTGGTGAGTTTGAACTTGCAGGTCCATTAGCCGCAATGCTAATAATGCTAATAATGCTAACGATGCTAATGAAGATTCCATTGACTTGTGCTAAAACTGTAGCATGTCAGCTGATTATCAGAACGGTTAAAGAGTGGCGTTAAACTCAAAGTATTTCTGTTAAAACCGATATATGATTGGAAAAACAATTTAGGCACTGAGATACTCTTGGAGGTTCTAAAAATTTGCTGTGTTTAATGTGTTAAACTTTGTATTATTTTTCTATTGTCTTAAATCTTTAATGTTTATATGTGAAGTGGAAAAAGTCCAAAAACAATTCTTTTCATGATTAATCCTGCTAAAACTGAATTTTGAAAGTGAATTTAAATGGTAAATGGACTGTACTTATACAGCGCCTTTCTATCTTATTTCCAGACACTCAAAGCTCTTTACTACAATCTGTGCCTCATTTACCCATTCATACAGCTCTATACTAGATCTCTACAAAGATAATTGAACAAATCATTCTAAAGAGACTAATCAGTGATTTAGATCACATTCATACACCGATGGGACACACATCAGAGGCTATGGGGGGTTCATTGTCTTGCCCAGGGACACTTCAGCATGTGACTGCTGGTGGATTCGAACCCCCAACTCTTGCATTGGAGGATGACTGCTCTAACCACTCAGCCACAGCCGCCCCATTTAAAATGTTATACAACATAACTAGAAGTGAACTATGAAACTAGTTACACTTAAACTTTATCCCATAATGAGTAATGTTGTGGTTTAATTCAAATCAATAAGTGTGACTTTATTATGACCTTATACTTAGGTCAGGTTTTTTATGCGTATGCTGAAAATTGCTGATGATAACCCAAGGAAGTGAGACTGGATCCACACGCATGAAGATGTTTGAGAACATCCCATTAATGGATGGTGAGCCACTGCCTGTATGGAACTGAACCAGTTCTCTATGCCCAGAGTGTGGTAGGACAAACTGAACTTGAGACACAGATCAGTGGACAGGCTGCACTTGCCCACTATTCAGAGGTGGAACTGGAGAAATTGAAACACTTCAAGACTCGGGTCTGACATTCTTTTTATTTTATTTTATTGTAAAAGTGCAACGTTTTGTTTTATTCTTTGGAAATTGTGAATAGATGTGTTTTACGTTGTAAAACTGTTAACTGGTTTTCTAAGACAACCCTCAGTGTGGTGTATTACAGTTACTCATTCCCCGGGCTCTTGTCGTACTTATGATCTTCTGCTCTAGCCCATTCATAATTGTACACCAATATTAGGTGTAATTGCTCTTTGCTTAGCCAAATAATACTTTGTTTGGAGCCAATCAATCAGCTACAGGCTACAATATTATAAAACGAAACAAAAACAGCGACACTGTAAAGCGGTGTAAAATACTAAAAACAGGAACAGGTCTGTGTTGGTTTTTGCCATGAATTTATCAGATGTTTGAAGCCACTTAGAGAGGTCAAAGGTCGAGAGCTCCAGATCTTTTTGCAAGATATTCCAGGAAACAGGAGCAGAGTAGGAGAAGGTCCTATTGTCTAGTTCAGTCCTCATTGAGGGAACACTGCAGGTAATAATGTCCTGAGAGCGCACGCTGTAGCTGCACTCACACAGAGACATGTAGGAGGAGATGTATGAAGGCAGCAGACCAAGAAGTGATTTAAAGATGAAAAATGAGTCTGCGTGACGTTAATGATGTTAACCAGTGAATACTGGGAGCAGTGGTGGGTACGGTAGTTACAGCCAGTTATGAATCTTAGCGCACCTTGATAGACAGCATCCAACATCTGCAGGGTTCTTGTAGGAGCGCTCATTCAATCTTTATTTATACAGGTTAGTCTCACTGAGCCTTGAGGACTCATTTACAGGAGAGACCTGATTAACTCTCTAACCTTCTGTCAGGTGTTAACCTTAACAATCATCACATCTTTGTTGATTAAAAGAACTTCATAATGGATCAGAATTTAAAACATGTACTCTGGTATAGCTAAAAAAAGTTAAATCTGGTCCTCTGGACATTCAAAAAACACAACAAAGCAAATCAACAAAAAAATATAGAAACGTTTCGTCTCTCATCCAAGAGACTTCCTCAGTCTGAGGTGCTGTATTCAGCTCAGTCTCTTAAATAGCACCTTCTCAGAGTGGATCAACCAGTTTGCTGCTGACAACCAAAACCAGCTGATCACATGATCAAGAAGGACCATCAGCCTAACAATGGATCATTAGCACACTGATGGCTGTTTACTGTTCACAGAGGGCTGAGTGATACTAGCAATCACGGCATTGTAAGAGGGGGACAGTTGAACACGGAGGCTCCACCCCTGTTTAATGATGGACGGTTTCTTTTCACAAAGATGGCCTCCTTTACTCCTCTCTCAAACCATCGTTCCTCTCTGTCCAGGATGTGAACATCTTCATCCTTGAAAGAGTGACCGCTGGCCTGGAGATGAGTGTAGACCGCAGAGTCCTGGCCTGATGATGTTGATCTTCTGTGCTGGTCCATCCTTTTGGCCAGTGGCTGTTTAGTTTCCCCGATGTAAGACTGATCACCCTCCTGACACTGAACAGCATACACAACATTACTCTGTTTGTGCCGGGGGACTGGATCTTTGGGATGAACCAGTCTTTAATGTATTTTGGGGTTTAAAAGCCACTGGGACGTTATGTTTAGAAAATAAACGTCTCAGTTTCTCTGATACTCCCTCAACATATGGAATGATCACTGGTCTGGGTCTGGGTTCCTCCTTTTCACCTGATGCTGACTGGAGTCCTGTTTGGGTTTCTTCTCTGCTTTCAGGAAGGCCCAGTTAGGATATCCACATTGCTCTAGAGCCTGTCTTGTGTGGGATTTCTCCTTCTGCCTGGCTCCTGAGTTAGTGGGGAGCCAGGCAGAAGGAGAAAACAAAAGCTTGTAATCTGTCATCATGTGATCAGAGGATAGGCAGGAGGTGGCACTTTGATCTACTGTAATAGTTTTTACAAGTTTGGGCTCAGGTTATACACACAAGCAACCAAAGGTGATGTTTAGGATTTTTCTTACTCTGGAATCTGGTTTTAATTATTTTTATTTTTTATGGGCTCCTAAAAGGTTGTGTCTTTGTGGATGCAAAGCTGAAACAATAAAAAATAAGTGTTTCCATAAAATGCTGTTCTATGGGGATGGGGCTGTGGATGAGTATGGTGAGGGAACAAACGAGCATCATGGGATGTGGAAAATATCAGGAAAAAACCTGTTTGACAAGTTGTAAAAGTCCAGCAGCATCGTGATTGTCTTCACACTGAAGGCAGTTTTCCAAACTCCCAGCCACACTCTGACACACCTTTGTAGGTTGTGGAGAATACTGGGGTCATTGTCCACTTCAAAAGAGACCTAGTGAAACAGAACATCTTATTGACATTATTATGTTTGTATTGTTATTATGTATTATTATGACTATGTTTAATGCCCAGGTGAACACAACCATGTAGAATGACATACAGGTATCAACAGCTGTCTCAGGTAAGTGACACGGTGTCAAAATATTTATTAAATGGTAAATGGACTGTACTTATATAACGCCTTTCTATCTTATCGAGACACTCAAAGCTCTTTACAACAATCTGTGTCTCATTTATCCATTCATACAGCTCTATACTAGATCTCTACAAAGACTAATCAGAGCTTTATCACATTCATACACAGATGGGACACACATCAGAGGCAATGAGAGGTTCAGTGTCTTGCCCAGAGACACTTCAGCATGTGACTGCTGGTGGAATCAAACCCCCAACTCTTGCATTGGAGGACGACTGCTCTAACCACTCCGCCACAGCTGCCATTAGAGCCTTTGCTTAAACTGGTATAAACTTTTAGAGTTACACAGATTAAATTTGCACTTGAATGGTTCCTGATCGGTTGGGAAGCTGTTGCCTCTCAGAGAGAAGGTTGTCGGGTCGACTCTCGTCCGGGAACCTTTCTGGGTGCAGTTTGCATGTTCTCTCCGTGCATGCTTGGGTTTTCTCCAGGTACTCTGGTTTCCTCCCACAGACCAAAAACATCCATGTTGGTCTGACTGGTAACTCTAAATTGTCCCTAGAGTGAATGGTTGTTTGTCTCGTTTGTCTCCATGTGTCCTTGTGATGGACTGGAGACCTGTCCAGGGTGTCCCCTGCCTCTTGCACAGGGGACATTCTAAGGAAGAAGTGGGTAAAGATAATAGATGTATGCTTATAAATCCTCTAAGTTTCTCCACACTAGATCAGTCTGACTGCCGTCTAACGCAGGTAAGACGTGGACGTCTCTTCAAAACACACACACAAAAAAGAAACAAACAAGATCTTGAGGAAATTGGCTAATTTGTTAAATTTGTTCATTTGTTCTTCTATTGAAACACCCAAGATCTTTTTTATTTTTTTGTCTCAAAGACTTACAACAGTTGGTTTGTCAGTCACTGTCCTCCCAGTGTGGGGTTCAGGTGTTCACGCACTGCACTGCAGCATGTTGCCCAGTGGAGCAGGATTACTGCAGATTACACACATCCTTTTGGAAATGTCCTTCCATCAGCTGATACATCTGAACACTGTGAGTTTGGTTGTGAATACTGATCTGAAGTTGGAATGGGACCGGGACAGTGGGAGAAGGTGGAAGTTGTAATTTTCTTTCTCATTTCTTCTCATCCTCGTGCTCTGCTGGTGGTGAGTGTGTCTCTGGTGTTTTCAGACACAAGCCGCTTCATGCGCAGCTCAGCAACCTGTAGGAAATAAAGCAAGAGACGTGAGCGGGGACTCTCAGACTCTCTCCCCTGCAGTGTCAAACGTTTCATGTTTATGTGTTATGAGTGTGATTGTGCACAAAAGAGAGAGGAGGGGAGGTCCAGGAGGGGAGGGGTGTGAAAGGGTGAGTGAGAGAGCAGGTGTTGGAGTGCTTAATGGCGTGAATGGCCACTGCTGGCTCATCCTGATTAATGGAACGAACCTCTGCTTTGTCTCTGCAGTCAACAATGACCATGTAGAGACCCTCATACACCGTCCATCCTCGCAGACGCCTCAACATTTAACGGCCCTATTGAAAACTTCCTGCTCCTCACTGCCAGTCCACTTAGAACATAACCCTCTGGAAATATGGAGACCATCTGTGGTTTCCATCTGTACAATCACTTCAACAACGACATGGGGGCAGTTTTCACACAGGTCTCATGCTGCACATGGTGCAGGCAAACGACGACAACCAGACACAAAATAAACTCAATTTTAATTTTAATTTTTTCCTTCACTCTGATCTTTGACATCTGATTTTTCCTTGACAAATGTTTTGCTCTGATCCACAAAACTGATGCTACTGGAAGATTTATTTTCTACCTGTCTATCTCACATCTATGACAGTAAAGACAAAACTACATCTAGATTATCTAGATTAATACATAGATTAGGACTATTCAACTAAACCGCTCAGGGGCCACAGTTTCTGAAAGCCAGCAGCTCAGGGGCCGGACATCCAGCAGTTAAAGTCATTCTGTAAATAAACCAAGGATTACAATGATGTTACCTTTAAATTGATTTATTTTGTTGCATTGAATCATAAATCAATTACCAATCGATCAATTACCCTGTGACGTGTGCTGATGACCACTTGACCAGGTCACCCTTGTGAAAGAGATCTCGATCTCAATGGGCTCTACCTGGTAAAATAAAGGTGATTGATTGATTGATTGAAATGCAATAAACAGAACCCAAATATGTAATTCAAATAAATTGCATTTCAAAAATAATTTTCTTGTAAGAAGAGTATTGATATAATGTGAAACGATATTAAAAACAAAAATGACACATTATGCTTCCTATTTAACACAGATATTATTCTGACATTTCTGACGTGCCAGATCTGTACACTTGTTTATTTTTATCTTGTTTTGAAGCTACAGGGGAGAAATGTAGTGGTGGTCTGTCCAATTTAATGACAAACTTATTGAACTTGAAAACTGACATCGAGACACCAGACTACACAACGAATTGCACTTCTTCGACTGGACAATGGCAGAACAGTCAGGTTCAAAAGATGTAAGAGCAATTCGTAGCAATGACGCAGACACTCATTTGTTAAGGAAGAACAAGCACTTTTGTATGACAGTGGAGGGATTCCATCCGTGGTGCCACCGCTGACAGCTGACAGCTGACAGCGTGAACATATTTTGCAGGCGAACATCCGAGCAGGTAGAAACGTTTAGAAGCCAAAGTGTTTGGTTGGAAAATGCCTCCGCAGGTTGTAATCCATGGTGCTGCACTCGTTGCAGAGCAGACACATCAGCTTGCCTTCAGCAGTTTCACTAAAAACACATTTATCTGTCCACTTACTGTTGAATTTACGGTTTTGAAGTCAAATTTTCTTTTTTTTTTCAGCTTTGTGAATGTTATTGTGTTGCCGCGTTTTCTAACTACTCTCGTTAGCAAGCTACAAACACATGACCAGAATACTAGATGCTGATTGGCTGCTCCAACTGACCACAGATCAGCTATATAAGAGGATCGCCTCTCTGATGAAAATATTTCTCATTTCAGATTTTGTTCTTATTCTGTTGTTTTTTTTCTTCTGATTTCAAATCTACTTTTATATTAAATGAAGTCATTGGCAGACTGAGTTGTACAACCTGTCATAGACATTCTATAGAAAAGGATTGCCTCTTGTCATTTCAACAATTTTAAAGGTCTCTTTCATGTTTTTTTTTCTGATTTATTTTATTTTTTCAATGAACTCATTGGTGGGCTGGACTAAAGTCACCCATGAGCCGCCAGTTGAATAGCCCTGATGTAGTTCCTGTGCAGCTTCCCTGAAAATTGATGTGATTTCTCACATGGTAAATCGAACTTCCTTTGTTAGTTGACCACACAGTTTCCACGGGGCATTAAAAGTCATTAACGTGTTTCTGTCTTTCAGGTACACCTGCATCTACATCTTGACTCTCTCCTTCCTGTCCTCTCAACCAGCCGGTCAAAGCAGATGGCCGCTTTTCCTGAGCCTGGTTCTGCTGGAGGTTTCTTTATTTTAAAAGGGAGTTTTTCTTTTCACTGTTGCCACTGTGCTTGCTCAGGATGGGAGACTGCAACGAAGCCAAGATTCATCTTGTCTGCTGGATTCCTTAGATAGCGAACTTTACTAATTGGCTTTTTTTATATATGTGAACGTTTCTGTAAAGTGCCCTGAGACAGCGCAGAGCTTCATGATTTACATATCCTCCAGGAGCAATTTGAGATAAGTTGGTCTATCCAAGGCAAAATGGGGGAGACAGCTTCAGATAAACAATTGTTTTGGGACAAGCCAACTCTACTGATTTCCCATCTGCCTTCATAGTCTCTGATGGTACACTCAATGGCGAATCCAAACATCCAGATTCATGGTCATTCTGCCAGTCCATGCTTGTAGTCTTCTCCAAGGTTGATTCCTTCATGCCAGCGAGTTCTAGCATCTGAGTATGAGCGCTCAAAGCATGGTGCAATCCTTCATACAAGGCAGGCAGTGTAGTAATTCATGTTTATGTCAAGTCATGCTGTGTATTTTTTTGTTTGTTTTGGTTGCCCTGCCTCCTCTCCTCATCAATCAACCTTTATTTATACAGGTAAATCCCATTGAGCCTCGAGGACTCATTGACAAGAGAGACCTGATTTCAACAAAGAAAGATGACAACAATGGACAACAGCAACAACAATAAACAATTATAAAAAAGCATACTACAGGTTTTTTTTTTTTTTTTTTTTTTTTTTAACAAATAGGATGGCTAAAAGGAAAAGGTAACAAAACAAAAAACAGCTAGGTTCCAAGACAAATGTAGAAAACTAAAAACAGGAACATGTCAGCATTGGACCCTGCCGGGTGTCCAACAGATTCTTAAAGACACTTAGAGAGGTCAAAGGTCGAGAGCTTCAAATCTTTTTGTAAGATATTCCAGGAAACAGGAGTGGAATAGGAGAAGGCCCTTTTGCCTAGTTCAGTCCTCATTGAGGGAACACTGCAGGTAATAATGTCCTGAGAGTGCACGCTGTAGCTGCACTCACGCAGAGACATGTAGGAGGAGATGTATGAAGGCAGCAGACCAAGAAGTGATTTAAAGATGAAAATATACCAGTGAGAGAGTCTGCATGAAATTAATGATGTCCAGTTAACCAGTGAATACAGTGTGCAGTGGTGGGTACGATAATCACAGCCAGTTATGAATCTTAGTGCACCATGATAGACAGCATCCAACATCTGCAGGGTTCTTGTAGGAGCGTTCATGTAAATAATATCACCATAATCAATTGAGGGAAGGAAAGTCACAGATACAAGGCGTTTTCTAGCATTCAGGGTTAGACAGGATCTGTTTCTGAAAAAGAAACCCAGTTTAACTTTCAGTTTCTTTATCAAGTTTTCCACACGGAGCTTAAAAGAGAGATGTGAGTCGACCAAGATACCCAAATATTTATAGGAATCAACAAACTCAATGGGGACACCATTTGAGGATAAAATCGGAGGAAGAACTGCTGGGACCAACTTCCTATTTGAAAAAAGCATCCCTTTGGTTTTGTCGGCATTTAGGACAAGTTTGAGGCGAAACAAATCTGTCTGGATGATGTTGAATGCAGATTTCAAAAGCTGGAAAGCCTTAGCAACAGTTTTAGCTCGACAATAAACAACTGTATCATCAGCATAGAAATGTATGGATGCATTAGGGATGTTTTTACCTACATTATGTATGTAGATTGTAAAAAGGGTGGGTCCTAAGACTGAGCCTTGTGGTACACCATTGTTGACTGTTAAATAACTGGAAGAAGTACCATTATGTTGAACACATTGCCTCCGGTCTGAAAGATAGTTAGAGAACCAACCAATGGTGTGATCTGAGAAACCAATTTCTGAGAGTTTATGACACAAGATGTTATGATCCACAGTGTCAAAAGCTTTAGACAGATCTAAGAAAAGTGCAGCGCAATAATCCTTAACATCCAGTGCTTCAACAACGTCATTAAGAACCTTCAGTGAAGCAGTGGTTGTGCTGTGTTGTTTCCTGAAACCAGATTGATGTGGAGGTAAGATGTTAAATGAGTCCAGGTAATTTTTGATTTGAGAGTTTATCAGTTTTTCTAGAACCTTGGCTAAAATGCAGAGTTTAGAGATTGGTCGATAGTTGTTCAGTGAGGTGGGGTCTCCTCCCTTCAGCAAAGGAAGAACAAAGGCTGTTTTCCAAGTGCCTGGGATGGAGTTTTGTCTTATGGAGAGATTGAAGATGTGGGTCACAGGGACTGTGATGATATGTATGATATATGATATGATATATATCATCAGCTTCACTCAGCACACCTGTACGCTGCTCTTTTTACGAGTGCCCCAGACTCTGTCTCCTTGCCAGATTTTCTGATCGCCTTGCACCTTAAGAAATCCAGCGTTCTGTTCCTGATCACTCTGTTTATTGACACTCTTCATGATCATGGATTTCTCGCCTTTGCCTTGCCCACGACGGATAACTTCTGCCCATGGGATATCTGGAACTCGACTCTCGCTCTGCCTACAAACCATCGACTCTCGCTGAACCCTTCAGATAAGTACTGCCTTTTTGCTCCTCTGTGAATGACCCACTCCTGCATTTTGACCACGATCTCAGACTCTGGACTCTAGAAGGTGTGAGCTTTCAGAATCAAGCTCCACGAGCTGAAGAGGAGCCTTGTTGAACCTCCCAGGTCTCACGCTCATGTCACGTGATCAAGTTGCACCTCCGTTCCTCCA